TACTCTGGAAATATTTTGTAGCTGGCTACCTGTTATACATCATTTTCTCCCTGGAGAATGTAAGCTTCTTGTAGCCAGGAACAGTATCATTTTTGCCTTTGTATCCCTAGCGCAGCGCCTAGCACATAGTAGGTGCTTAAAAAGTACTTGATGATATTTTTAGCATTCTTCAATACTCCAATGCGCCAAACGATCTATGATCTCCTCAGTGTGGGCATTCCTTCCAATGACGAAGACCATCCCTCACCTTGTCTGCCTATTCTGTGCTATTCTAGCCCAAATCCCCCCATATATTTGCCACAGGGGGCACAATCATCGTTCCAAAGATTTCCTCATGCTCTCTTGACAATGAATAGATCAATACCAAGGGAACACACAGGCTGTCCATTGGTTAGCCCTTACTCCCACCATGCGATGACCAATTCATCTTTTTTTATAGTCACTTATTTCTCAGATGACATACTTTATGCCACTTCTCCTGCATAGTGCTTTGTTTGAAATGTGTTTTAGCCCATTTATACCCACCATGTTTTCCTCATTGTCTTTTGAGTCAGTTTGTAAAAAAAAGTATTGACTGAGCACTTACTATATGTTTTAGGTACTATGTACAAAGAAAGGCAGAAACAGCCCCTGCTCTGAAGAAGCTTACATTCTAGTGAGGGGTGGACAGAACACATAAATAAGTCTGTATCATAATCTAGATGACAGACGTTCTTTATCAGCTTGGTTTTTCTGGTGTGGATAGTTAGACTGAACCCTTGAGTAAGGATCATAGAGAATGTCCAGAGTTCAAATAGAAGAAGGGTTCCCCACAGATGGTGAGGTCCTCAAAATGCTCATACTGGTGAAAGACATTGACTATCACATTAAGACCTGAAACATTTTGCTGAGGTCTGTGTAGGAATTTGTGTTTGACTCTGTTATGAGGCAGCTAGGTGGCAGAGTGGATAGATTGCTGGGCCTGGAGTCAGGAAAACTCATCTCTGTGAGTTCAAATCCAGTCTCTGGCACTTACTAGCTGTGTGATCCTGGGCAAATCACTTAACTCTGTTTGCCTCAGTTTCCTCATCTGTAAAATGAACTGGAAATGGCAAACCACTCCAGTATCTTTGCCAGGAAGCCCCCAAATGGGGTCACAAAGAGTCAGATGTGACACAATAACTTCCATACAGTAAGCTCTGAAAGTTCAATTTTGTGCATAAGGTGTATTTGTTGTGATCACACAAAAGTCATCAATGGGTCCCTGGCTCCAGCACTTACAACTTGTACGATTCTGGGCAAGTTACTTTGGCTCAAGGGGTCTTAGTTTCCTAATTTGTAAAATCGGAGAGCTGGATGAAATTATCACTCAAGTTCCCTCCAGCTCTAATTCCCATAATCCAATTTCATTTACAAGACTTTTGCTCATGTCTTTAGTATGCCTTTTGAAACTACGGGAAGATGAAGTTTAATGCTTAATAAATCAAATATAGAAGTGCTCAGTGGATACATTTTAGAAGTCTATTATGTTATATAAGAGGCAGCATGCTCTTATGACCAATTCTCAAAGGAAAAAATCCAAGTTATCAACAATCATTCAATTAGTGGGAATAGGAGGAGGTTATGGGAGGGACAGGTTAATTTTTTTTTTTTTGCTTTTTTTTGATGAGGCAATCAGGGTTAAGTGACTTGCCCAGGGTCACACAGCTATATAAGTGTCAAGTGTCTAAGGCCTGATTTGAACTCAGGTCCTCCTGACTCCAAGGCTGATGCTCTATCCAGTGCACCACCTACTTTCCTCAGGCTAATTTTTTTAAATACTTGGGGGGGAGGGCAGGTACTTACGAGATGATTAACAATAACAACAAGAAAGAAAGTAGATCAGTTTTAATGCTTAGTCAAGTAAAATGCAGAAGGGCTAAATGAATACATTTTAGGAAAGAAGTTCAAAAGAAGTAATGGCATTGTGGATAGAATGGCAGCCTCAGATCCAGGATGACCTGGGTTCACATCCCACCCCCAGTACACACTGATCGTGTCACTCTGGACTAGCCTTTCAACTTCTCAGTGTTTTAGGCAGCTCTCAAGTTGGAGAAAAGGTGCTGACTTGCTTTGGTAGAGAGAGTTTGCTCACTCAGGGAATTCCCTATACCAGGGAAATCATAGGTCCCTGTCTCTGTTTATTCAGCAATGCTGAAACTACAATAACAATAATCACTGCACAAAACTATCCATAGGGACATAGATTTAGAGCTGGAGGGGACCATAGAAATCATCTAGTCTAATCTTTTCATCTTACAGATGAGGGAATTGAGGTTCAGACAATTTAAATGACTTGTCTAAGGTCACAAAGGTTACAACTGGTAGGAGTGGGATTTGAACCCTTGTCCTCTGGCTCCAAATTCATTGATCTTTCTATTTAACCATGCTGCCTCTTGTGATGTGCTGTTTGTGTTCACCCAATAATGATGTTACTTAACCCCAATGTTGATATGTTAACATTAATAAGATGTTAATAAGCTAATGTTAGTTAATCCTGAAAGAAGAAGAGGGAGGAGGAGAGGAGGAGGAGGAGATGGAGAAGAAGAAGAAGATGAAGAAGAAGAAGAAGAAGAAGAAGAAGAAGAAGAAGAAGAAGAAGA